GGCTTCAGAGTCTTGCTTGTCCATCGTCCCTTTCACTCTAACGTTGGCGGCTGTGCTTTCAGCCACTATGCCCCAAAATTATGAAATTCTGTCACAATTCCTCCATCTTGCCACATCCTCCTCGCCTTCAGATCACACCTGAAGACCTTCTTCTTTGACCATGAGTACAATCACTTACCCCCAGCTCGGCATCAAGCTCCACCATGGTTAAGCACTCCAAGATGCTAACCCACATGAAGGGCACTATATAAATGCATGTTGTTACAAATCCCCATCTCCTAACTAATGTGCAATGGCAATGCTGAGGGTTATGCAATATTCACTACATCTTCACTTACGGAAATGTCTCAAAGTGCCCTTCATGTGGGTTAGAATCTTGGAGTGCTTAACCATGGCGGAGCTTGACGCCAAGCCGGGGGGGGTGGGGAGTGATTGTACTCGCAGTCAAAGAAGAAGATCTTCAGGTGGAATCTGAAGACAGGGGAGAATATGACAAGATGGAGGGATTGCGGCAGAGTTACCTTATTTTCTGAAAATCACTTCATCCTTTTCAACATATGCCTCCATTATATTTGAAGGACCCAAGAATCTCTGCTGTCACATTGCAGATAACTTCAACATATGCACGCCGTGCGCGCTTGCGCACACAACGCACACACACAGGATTTTAGTATTTTTTGACAAAACAAAAAGCTTTACTTACTTTGTGAGCTATACATGCAAAAAACATTACAACATTTGGTAGTAATAATAAAAAAATTATCATCCTTGACTTTGCTTATAGCACTTATAACAAGGAAATGTCTCAAAGTGCATTATAGGAAGTGCAGCGATTGTATTTGGTCGCAAATAGGACAGCTATTTAACGCACAGCAAAGTCCCAAAAACTATTAAGAAGTGACTCACTGATTTATCTGTGGAATTACAGAACACTGGAAGAATTCACCTTTTTTTCAAATAATGCCATGCCTCAACATTTTTCTGAACTGACACAGGACTCATCTTAACATTTCATCCAAAGGATGGCACCTCAAACGATGCAGAACTACTCAAACGATCCAGATCTCCGCAAAGAAATGATATACCAGAATATGAGCTCAGGTCTTGACGTGGGTCTTGAACCCACAATCTGATTCATCAGCCTAGAATACGAGCTCAGGTCCTGACATGGGTCCTTGAACCCACAATCTGACCCCTCAGTCATAGAGCAGGGGCAGAACAGGCAGGCTGTTATACAGAATAGCAAAGAGCTATATTTGAGGGTTGCATTAAGCTCAGAAGACAAGAGCAGCAAAGAGGGTTGCCTCCTGAATGACATACAAAAGGGTCATACACAAGACCGCTTCTCTATTGCTTTCTTGAATGGGTGCTGTATGACACGTCTCAAAAATGTGATAAGGTGCTATATCAAATGCAAGGATTATTATTATAATTAATATTTGTCTGGTGTGTGCTATTAACTGAAAGGTGTGGTAATCTGAGAGGATTCCTGTACAAGTTATGGAGAGTAAACTGGCTCCAAGATCTAGGAAAGGCCACCCTCACATGCTTATTGTGCTTCTCCTTTGCCATTTTGTACGGATGGAGAACTCACTGCAGAATAAGTTGATAATGGCAACATCTAATGCATCAACTTTCCCATGATTGGAAGAAATGTCTGAATGTACATTAGACAAGTCATCGTCATTCAGCTCTTTGACCCCATGGACTTATGGTGGCATGTGTTTATCCATCCACTGGTCTGATTTCGGTTGAGGGATGATCAATTTGCCCGTGGTCAGGGAAACCGGTCCACAATGTCTACACAGCACTCACACTTGTGTAAGGAGCATGTTATTCACACAAAATGACTGACTACTGACCAATTGAAAGCTGGTGCACAAATTCTAACTATAGCCCCTCCTGAGATACAGCATTAATCATTGGAATCTGCAATGGAATGCATAGGGTAGTTGCCAATTTGGGCCCAAGTGAAAACTGTAATTTTCCCAGTGATATTAGCACTGCTAGTAACCACTGAATGGAGCTGATGACTTTGTATTTTCTGCTGGTATGGCCAATGCCACAGGTCACAAGATCATAAGACCTTTGGCTTTCTCATCTACCCATCCTACTGTGCTACCAGCACAGCATCAAGCAATTTGTTTGCTGTTAAAGAAAAATTTTGTGATATGTCAAATAATTGTTCTCTGCTACTCTAAACCTACGTGCTCTTGTTCTGCCTAGGTACATCCAAGAAGTATATTATTCTGCATCTACTTTTTCAATCCCATTTAAAGGAGTAAATTTAAATTAAATTGAAATTAAATTACATTTAAAGTTCCATTTAAGTCTGAAGAACCCTAGCTTGGGTGGTGAAGTGGTTTGATCCCAGTCCTCTGGTGTCACAGTTTGCTATTGGTGTCTGCTCTGCTGATAGGCTCAGCCCATCAACATTGCTGCAATGTCATTAGATACAGTAAATGCAGCTGCATGTGAGGGTCTGAAAGGGAATCATGGAAGCCTGTACAATCCAAAGCCTTTGCTGAAGAACATTCTCACTTCAATTTTAAATAAAGAGATTGCAATACCAAGCTGTAAAAGCTCTGTATAAGTACAGAGATTCGCCAATACAAAAATAACCTTTTTCAAACTTATTAAAAGAGAAAACATGTTTTGCAAGAAAGGAAAGTTGTCTCAAGTTGTAATGAGGTGCCTTAAGGCAAAACTTGTTTTGGAATGACAGAAAAATGACAGTGGAATGGTACTTATACACCGCCCTCCACGCAGCGTAGCGTCTCAAAGCGCTTAATAGTGGCGGAGCCTGACTCCGATCACTGACATTCTTCACATTGAATAATAACTGTTTCCTTCTTTAGGTAAACTTCAGCAGTAATTCGATTTATATTATACATTAGCATTAAGAAACAAGTCTCTGTCATTTAATACTTACCAAGTCACAGAATAGAGTTAAAAGGTTTTGCTCCTACATGATTTCACAACATTATGTAAACTATATAAAACCATAAAATTATATGGGGATAAGGAAAGGGCATCTAAATGGGATTGAAACAATTTGTTCTTTGAATAACCAGCACAGTCATGTTGAGCCAAATGGCCTTTTTCTGTGCTGTAAATTTCTATGGTTCTATTTCTGTGGTTCAATGTTGTCTCTTGATAATAGCCATCAAACTCATCGACAGCACTACGTGTGGAGATGTGCTGCATTATAAATTAGGCTTGGTGGAAATTAAAAAGCTGTGAACATCAAATAATTGGTATTTTGCGACGTTCTGCAATCCAAAATAAAATCAATTTCAATTGATAAAAAATCAAAACTACTGCATGAGGTGGAAGACCGGGATATGAGAGAGGTGGAGGCTCTTGTGTTGTATGAACCACTGGCATGGACTAGTCAGGCCAAACGGCTTGTTTCCTTGCTGTAATGTTCTATGGACCTCTATGGAAAAATGAAATACTATTTGTGAACTATCACTGCAAAAGGTCACAATTTTTCTATCATCATGAATGAAACCTGGTACAATGTAGTATATACAATATACATAATAATCCTTGCATTTGATATGGCACCTTGACATTTCTTCAAGATATTTTAAAGGGCTTCACAAGATTTTATTGTGAAGAGTTACGATTGTGTATTTGTAAGTGAACATGGCAGCCAATTTGTACACAGCAATGTTCCATAAACAACCATGAAATGAATGACCAATTTTTCTTTTAGGGGATTATTGGCCAGTATACTGCAAGCAATCATGGCTACATACAAAATACCCACAAAATACATAGTCATACCACTTTAGTGCACATCCTGTGAATCACTTTGAGACACCTCAATGACATAAGGTGCTATTTCAAATGCAATGATTATTATTACACAAACATGCTCAGTAAATTAACATGGTTAAAAATGTTACTATGGTGAAAATTATTTTTGCATGACAATTATAGCTTAGACTTGCAATGCATTGACCGCACAATACAATATAAAGATCAGATTTATTGTTTCATAAATTTTTTCCACCAACATGTATTCTCCCTCCAAAATAAACACAAAATAATCTGGGCCACAGACCGAACATCAAAATCACTGCCATCAAAATCACTCTGGATTAGTTAGCAGAAACAGAAGTCAAATGGAGCTGGTTTAGATCAGTTTTTCCTCGAGCCCCCCCTCCACCACAAAACAGCTTGCAAGCGCAATTCATCCAACTTCCCCTTCCTCTTCTCTCCCTCCCATCCCCCACCCAAATAGATGGTCTGTTGTCATCCAATATACTGTATTATTCAGAAAATAGTTAACTGTAAATTTACTCAAGGAAGGAAGTTAGTTGAAGTTAGGATCAAAACTCTAAAATTCCCCCCCCATCCAAGCAGTTTGAAGAATCCAATGATTTACTGTTACGTATATTATCAGATTATCATTGAATATGTTTATAGGAGCGAGTGATGAACATACAGCTATCTCATTGTGACCAATGGAAACAAGTTACAAATTAACCTAAATCTGATACTTATCATGACCCTGGTTATAATATGCAAACAGCTCACTAACAGTCAAATAAACGATAAAATGTACATCTTCTTTCAAAGATGAAGACAAACAGGTACAATAATACTGAACTATGGCGTGATGAATAGATTAAAAGTACCTATTAAGTATTGTTAACGATTCTTGTAGAAAGCTCTGTAGTGTCAACAGCATAAACAATTTTGAATTACTACTTAAAAATAATGATTATACTCAGTTTAGCTTCCAGAAAAAANCACTCATCTAAAATATAAACAATCTACCCTTTTATAAAGGCAGAATCCTAATTTTTTTGTTACACAAATACTGCATTTTGTAATAGACAAAGTCATTGAAAATGAATGTTCAGTAAATCTTTAGTAAAATTATAATATGAACAGACATCACAAAGAACGTATTTACCATTTGCAAAATACCTAATGCAGATCAATTAATTTTACACCACAAAAATTCTTCATTTAAAATTCCTTACCTTTAGGGAATCAAAACAAGCAATAACTCGCCCATTTTCAACTTGACAGCTTTTTGGAGGATGTGCAAACTTGCATTCCTGGTCTGAACGTGAGCAAGTCCCTCTCTGAAATTGTCTGCACACTTCTAACGTCAGCCATTTTGTATCACGCACTGGAGCAACGTTTAAAGCCATAATAAATGGTTGAAGTAAAACGTGGATAAGAAGAGTAGCTTAATTTCAGGATTCTTGGACAAAAAAAAGTTCCAGCAGCCAACGGAACACAAACCAAAAATGTAGCCTTTTTAAATGCACCGATGTGCAGAACAGAAGAAAATTACTTGACAAAATGCTAACAGAGGCTTGTTTTGCAGCGTATTGGTCAGCGTTAAATCAGATACCTAATCAGCAAGTGATTAGTCATCAATTTATCTCATTTGTGAATGAGGGAGGGGAACCTTCAGATTGGCACTCCAGTTGTTTAAAAGGTTTGAAGCTATCCACTCTTGCTGATAAAACACTTTGTTGCTTTGAATAAAGTTATTTGGATGCAATCGTTCCCGCTAATGGAATATTAATCATGTTCTAGTCGCTTCCCGTCATTGGTTTTATTGCAAACAGCACACCCAGCTCTTCCTATGTTGGCTTTGTTCTTCTTACAGTAGTTTGTTCTTCCTGTTTTTGATCCTACTCACAATTTAAGATGAGGCAGCAGACACGCAGATGCAGCAGAGGTGTTTTCAGTTGATTATTAGACCAGGCATTCTGCAACTGGCAGCAAACAAGCCTCACAAGCGCAGACTGACTTACAAGCAGCTCCAAGTAACACACACTTCAGAAAAGGCACTTTTCATCACCAACCTGTTGAGACAAAATATATATACATCATGCCTTGCTTACGGCAACTTTCACTCTACTTAAAATAATGCTACTGCACTGTAACGAAGCCATGGATCATTTTCAACATACTTCAGAATGGAAGCTGTGCTAACAAGGCAGCATACTGCAGTCAGCCATGCCATTGCAGATTAAAAAAAGGAGTTGGCTTTCCTCGTGAAACTATGCTTGGTAGGAGAATAACCAATCGCAACAAGTATTGCAGTAATATTCTGGGCAACAGTCCAATAGCTTGATGCATCTCATAAATGGCTGAATGTGCCAGATGACATTATGCTCGCTACACCGAAAATGCCTCAACCTAATGTGACCAGTCCTAATGCAATCTAGACGTACTGTATACCTGGTTTCAAATTGATTAGGAACTCATCTCTACAGATTTGCAGCACTCTTCAATTTGTACTTCTACCATTTACACTATCCCATATTCATAAGATTTTTTTAAAAAAAGGCAGTCATAACCTTCAGCTCCTTTATCTGGAATGAATTGGACATACAGTAATTCAGTCAATGTTTCACTAACATCTGCGAGCACTTATATCTACAGAGGTTGAGCAGTGAAAGGGAACCACAGAAGGTTATGACGGAATGGGGGGTGGGGAGAGTAAACAAGGCAGATTCTGTCAAACAGCAGCAGCTATGTTCTACTTCCTTCTTGATTTAACCCTATGAATGCCAAATATGAATAAGCACACCTAAATGTTAATTTTGACAAGTTCACATTATTTTAGTTTACTGATGATCACTGTTTATACAAATTTCACTAGATTTAATTTAAAAATATATACATTTTAAATTCAATTACATTCTATCATAAAATTATGACTGACTGGATATTGTGCTTCAGTCATACATTACCTATATGACGTGCTGAGAATTGCACACTAAACTGGTACAATATCAAAACAAGTGACCATTTTAAGTAAACGCACACGGACTTCTCCAGGCTCGACTTTGCAAACATCCTGCTTGTCGGCCTTCCCAACTCCTCCCTCCACAGGCTGCAGATAATCCAGAACTCTGCAGTCCGTGTCCTCTCCCGCACCAAACTCCGTGACCCCATCTCCCCCATTCTCGCCCGACTCCACTGGCTCCCTATCCTTCGGAGGATCCAGTTCAAGATCCTAGTCCTCACCTACAAAGCCCTCCATGGCCTCGCCCCACCCTACCTCTGTGACCTCCTAACCCTTTACCAACCCGCCCGTTCCATCCGCTCAGCCGGCTCTGGCCTGCTCCACGTCCCCCGACCCACCCGCTCCACCATAGGCGGGAGAGCCTTCAGCCACTCTGCCCCCAACCTCTGGAATTCCATCCCCCAATCACTCCACCTCGCCCCCTCCTTAGCCTCCTTCAAGTCCCGCCTCAAGACCCTCCTCTTTGACCATGCCACCAGCCATTCCCTTTCCCCTCCCCTCCCTTCTCCCCCCGAACGGGTCTGAAAATGCTGTACACTGTCCAGCGCCTTGGGACATCCTCCTGACGTGAAAGGCGCTATACAAATGTAATCTTGTTGTTGTAAATACTACTGAGATATTGAAGGTAATCAAATCAACAATCCAATTTGTGAACATAATAATATATGAAAGAACTGAAAGAGAATGGAGGTCTAAACATCATACTTCTGATGTATGCGACTAAAATTGAGTCCATCATTTGAATCTAAAACTAGGAGTCATAGTCTGAAGTTAAGGGTCAGCCTTTTCGAACTGAGTTGAGGAAGTATTTCTTCACTCAGAAGGTACTGAATTTGTGGAATTCTCTACCCCAGAAGGCTGTGGATTCTCAGTCCTTGAACATATTTAAGACTGAGATTGATAGATTTCTAAAGGATAGAGGGATTAAGGGATATGGGGATAGAATGGAATTAGGTTAAAAGATCAGCCATGATCTTAGTAAATGGCGAGGCAGGCTCAAGGGGCCGAATGGCCTATTCCTGCTTCTAAGTCTTATGGTCTTATGGTCTATTATTGCTATTATTATTATTATTATTTACTGATTGCAAAATTGGTTGTCACGTTTGCCCACAAAACTGTAAAGTGCTTTGAGACGTCCTTCCAGGGTGAAAGGCACTATACCAAAGGCAAGTATTATTATTATCACATTGTTTTACTAAAATTCTTGCAATCTAACCAAGGGTCACAAACCAAAAAGATCTAAAATGAGGGATGGGAAGAGCAAAGGACATTTAGTGATCAATACAGATTTGACCAAAACTGTAATGAATATCTAGATATACACTTTTAGTATGCTTTCTAAAGATGGAATCCATTTTGCTTTATTTGTCATGTCTTCAAACCTGTCAGAAAGCTGTAGAAGGTAGACAACTTTGCCTATACGTTTGCCAACAGACTTCTTGATATCAGTTTTTCCATAAGTGGGAGGGGAAAGGGTTAAGACACTAAATAAAAGTAGTTTGTCTCCAAAGGAAAGAAAGGTTAAAAAATACTAAGGTGATTTATCCAGAACAGTTGTTGGCATCTCCTGGTGAGATTCAAAGAGGCTGCCTGCTTGCCTGGCCTTTCAGGTCAGGAATGGTACAGGAGCACAGCTGGAAACATTTACTTCAGATAAATAATTTATTATTTCCACTGGTAAGGGAGTTGGTGACAACAGGACAGATGGTCACAAGAGGAGCAAAAGGAAAGCTTAGGAGAATATCGTTTTCACATAGAGAATTGTTGGGAATGTGGAATGCTCTCTAATCAATGTGTTGGAGGCAGAGTCCATGGTGAGTTTCAAGAGGGAAGCAGACAGGTATATGAAAGTTAGAGGGTTGAAGGAATATATGGATATAGGGCAGTACAATGGGATCAGAAGTACAGCCTTCTCTGAGATCTAGTGTAAACTTGATGGGACAAATGGCTTCCTTCTCTGCTGTAAATTTCTTTGATAAAATGATAAACTAAGTATATGGAGTTCTGTTTACTTGAGTCAATGCAACAAAGGGAGTGGATTAAATTAAATACAAGGCTAGATGTTACTTTACAATTTACAAACCAGTAGTTACCAATATACTCTATTTTGGGCTCCTGGCCATAGTTCTACATAACATACACTGTACATAGTCAGTAAAGGAGGGAACTAAAGTTTAGTCTTGGGATTTGTACTGAAATTTACAAAGCTACACTGAATCATTATAATTTAGCAAGTCTAAAAATAACATCTGGAGGAAGTTAGATAAGGCAAGATTAAACAATGCAGCTTTTATAAGGTGTACCATAATTCAAGTCAGTAAAGACGTGCAAAAAATACAGATTTATAATGAAAATAAGTAAAAAACGTAGAAGCTAAATTGTGATATATTGCCATTTTGAAAACGGTTACACTACATGCTGCATTACTTCCCTACAAAACACTGGATGTAACAATTAAAATAGATGCATATTCTAAATAAAATTCATGTTATTTTGAAATTGTGCATTAAACTTCACTGTGAAAGAAAATACTAAAGAGGCCTAAATTTCCTCATCTTTAGCCATTCTAAGATTTTGCATGACAAATTGAGGGACCGACTATTTGATACAATGCTAAAGATATACTACAATATATTGTGCCTCCAAAAAACAAAATAATCAGAAATGTTACTGTGTAGTGTAATGCATCATAAACAAGTTATAGTTAAGTGATTAAAAATATAGTTAAAAAATATACAGTGTTACAATTTTATTGTAGGATTCAAATTGAAAAGGACACCGAAAGATCTATTGCTGAAGGATCAAGAGCTCGTTCCTCTCACCCTCTGCTCCACCCCTGGAGGCTAAGCCCTCAGCCACCATGTCTAGGTTCTCTGGAATTCCTCTCTAAAACAACCTTGCCTTGTTGTCTTTCCATGCTTTCAAAATCCTCGTTGGGTATTGTGACCATATTTTGTAAACCAAATCCAGGGAAAACATATATAAAAAAATTGAACTCAAATTCCTGATGGCAATACTGGAGAAGTTTGTTGGAGTAATGGCTGTATTTCTCTGATGACTGTATCAATTTTAGAAATGTGTTGATCTTGCTCAGTTGGTTGCTAAACTCAAGACAGAGCAAATTTGACCGGCGACACAATAGCTCATATGGGGACTGTCCCCAGAAATCGGGGATGTGTGGTCTATCCTAGTGCCACCCCTACAACACCGCCTTGGACTAAATTCCTCACACTTCTTACTTGGAGTCCAGCATTTCCATTCTTTAGTTTGGGGGTTTTATGTGAATGATGCCAGATAAATAAATACAATTATCCCTGTTGACAAATATGGTAAACAGAACGCACAAAGTATGGTACAGCATAAAAAGACTACAGTACAAATGTTATGTTAATAGATAAGAAGGCAAAGGCAAGCGTTCTTTATGCTTACCAAAATTCCACACTTTTCTCCAATCCCTTCACATGATCACTTTTTCAGTAGTTTGCAAAATTTATAAAAACAAAAGACCTTCCAATAAAGAAAACCTTTCCCTTTAGTTTTAAATTACTGTAATGGAGCTAGCATATGACAACAAAAACTCAGTGTTACATGGTTAAGGAGTCAGTGAGCATTACAGCTGACAGTGAAAACATTGTACAGCGCTATAACATGCAGGATGATTTAAATAAATGGCAAGATGATTTAAATAAATGGTTATATTTTCATTTTTCAACATCACCCACTGGTCAAATATTAACAAAATGAGTTTTGTATAGCGTTGACCTTGGCATGTTCAGAAATGCAAAAATCCCTGTAAGCACATAAAAGTTTATTTATGTCTCTACAGGCACAGAAACAACTTTTCAATCATGCCCAGTAATATAAAGTGTTTGACACGTATGATTTAAAAAAAAAGGAAAATCATGATTTGGCAGTAAATTAATCGATGACATCCACAGTAAATTTTCCCACACTCACAATACAGCATTTGGAATAGAGCCGGAACTTTCATTTGGAGCTTTTTTAGAAAGTATACAACAGTACTCCAGGTATGACTTATCCACAGCCAGC